ACACCGCCCCCTGGTGGAGGTAAACAGCTACAGCACGGAGACCGAGTCATTACGGGTTAAACATCATCAGACCAGGCGCACAGCGCACAGGCACAAAGATGTGAACAGAGAGGAGTGTGCTCCCACAGGAGACCAAATATTTCAGCTTTGTTTTGTGCCAGCCTCACAGACGACGGATTCTCCAGCAACAGCAGAAGCAGAGGTCATCAGAGGTCAGCTGGAGCGCTGACACCAGCACCCGGTCAGACTCTTCCTCCTCTTCCCTGTTATGAATGCGAAGAAGAGGAACAACACTCCAGCAACTGCACGAGTGCGACGGACCGTGAATACGGTTGATCAGGCCATAGCGTGTCTCACTGACTCCTCCCACCTGGATGTCGCACTAAAACCCAAGGATACGTGCACGTCTCATCAGGAAGTGCGAAATATGGCGCATACGTCACCTTTTCTCTGCACATGTGGGTGGAAACCTCGTGCAGGTGCAGGTAGTCCCGCAGCTCCTTCACTTTCAGCTTCATCAGCTCTGCCCGCTCCAGCAGGTTGCCATAGAAACGCTGACAGGTGTGACAGAGGCGTGGCCGAGGCGCCTGCTGGGCGGAGCAGCGGCTGCAGTAGTTCTTCTTACAGTCGACACACACGTGCTGAAACACAGAGGCAGACCTGAGCTGTCAATCACACCACAGGTGACGACACAGGGAACCAATCAGAAGACTCCACACCTAATATGGTCAAAAAAGTGAGTGAGAGAGACAGAGAGAGAGAGATGTCACGTATGTGAAGGTGTACGATTGGACTTTACTGTTAATGGTAATTAGAAGTATACTGGTTTTCACGTTCCTGTGGTTTCCTGTTAGTGACACAGTGACTGAGGGTAAATTTAGAGTGAATATGAGACGTGACTGCAGATGTTCCTTCTGTAACAAAAACATCTGTCCAGGTTTAGGCTGCCGTTCAGACAAAAATAGATATTTAAAGATGGTTCCCTGAGTATTTCCTTTAAAAAAAAGTTAATTATGCAAACTATTTGTAAAATAGAAATCTGTCTGAACAGATGTTTCATGTGAAGAATGCATCATTAATTTTCTGTATAGAACACATTGAAGCTGCTGTTATTACACTGAAGGCTGAGGGCCGGCTGCTGTCCGCTTCACTTCCTCATTGCAGTGTAAACATGACTGTGATAAGAG